TATATATATATATACACAGGACTATTATTATTTATTGGAAAAAAAAAAAAAGTGAGTGAGTGAGTGACGTGAGGTCAAGTATGGTGACCCATACTCGGAATTAGTGCTCTGCATTTAACCCATCCAAAGTGCACACACACACAGCAGTGAACACACACCGTGAACACACACCGTGAACACACCCCCGGAGCAGTGGGCAGCCTTTTTTTTTTTGCTGCGGCGCCCGGGGAGCAGTTGGGGGTTCGGTGCCTTGCTCAAGGGCACCTCAGTCGTGGTATTGAAGGTGGGAGAGAGCGCTGTACATTCACTCCCCCCACCTACAATCCCTGCCAGTACGAGACTCGAACCCACAACCTTTGGGTTACGACTCTCTAACCATTAGGCCACAACTTCCCTTAGTGCTTGTGGAAATAGGCATTCCCTATGTCAATCATCACATTTGATTCGATTTTATTTATATGAAGTTGTGTTGTGTATGTCGTGTGTGGTCCTGGTAAACCCTACATTATGGAGACAAAATGTCCCCACAAAGATGGAAATATCTGAAATCCTTGTGGGGACATTTTTTGAAAACCTAAAAATGCACAAAGTTTCCTGTAAGGGGTAGGGTTGGTGTAGGGCAATAGAAGTTTGTATAAAAACCATTATGTCTATGGAATGTTCCCATAAAACATGGAAACCCAACATGTTTTTTGTGTGTGTGTGTGTGTGTGTGTGTCTTTATGTGGGTATGTAAAAGATTTTTGATCTAAAAGAAATTAAAGCCTTTAAACAGCAACCGTTTGCATCAATGTTTTTGAGTTATGACAACTAATGAAATTATGTTCATCTAACACTACATTGAGTTGGAGAACTTAATTTGTACCATAAACAAAATATTAAGTGGCTTCAAATATTTGAGTTGTGCCCTTGGAACCAGTTAATCTCATTTATTGCAGTTAAAATCAACAGCTAACACAGCACATGCTAAATGTAATTTGTTTAACATAAAGCCTAACAAATCAGACTAAGTAAGATATGGTGTAGCCACTGCTTAAAATCAATGCATTTATCTTGCCACCATCAACCTATCCACAAGCACTACTCTTCAGCACACTGGTAACCACAATAAACTTCAACATAATAGAAACTCTTTTAACCCTCTGGTGCTCTTCGGTCACTTTTGACCAAAACATTTTCTGTTTTGATTTTTTTTAAATCACAGCTTCATCGGAATGATATGAAACTTGGTGACTTTTATGGCATTTGGAATGTGAACACAAAAAAAATTGAGGGCATGTTTCAAGCAGGCTAAGTGGTCGTAAAAAAAAATAGTCACACTTGTGGTCTTCAGTCAAAAACGACTGACCATAGGAAATTGATAGGAAATCGACAAAAACAGAAAAATTCGGAGAATTTTTGTGTGTACACAAATCTGACACAATGCAGAAAAAAGTAAACACTAATGACAGGGTGAAACTCTAAAACATCAAGAGTGCAAAACCAACACATCCACTCACACACACGTGCGTACACACACTTATACACACACACACACACACACACACAACTTTAAACTGGTGTGACTGTAACACAGCAAATACTGTATGTCAAATAAAAGCAATAATTCAACCACAATGCAGTAAAAAAGTGGACAGCAAGGAAGGGGTTACACTCTAAAACATCAAGAGTGCAAAACAGACACATACACTCAAACACACACTCACACAAATATACACAATTATACACACTCAAATGAATTGGTATGGCTATAGCTATTTAGCCAAAAAGAGTCAGACAACTGAAATGACCCAGGTGAAAAAGACGTAGTATTAAATGTATTAAAAATATACTTGAAATTCAAGTAGTGTGTTTATAATACAAACCCAATTCTTAATATGTTTCTAAAAAGTATACTAGAAGTACTTTTGTATTAAATATATGCTTAGTTATACTTCTAAGAAATATGCTAAACAGAATCATACTTTTAACGTACTTATAAAAAGTATACTAGAAATACTTTGGTAATTATGCTTAGTTACACTTTTAAGGACTATGCTAAACACAAGCACACTATCAGTATATTTCTAAAAAGTATAGTAGAAATACTATGTTAATAAATA